CCACAATACGTCTTATTCCCATAGTTCATATAAGAAAATAACGTCTTTGGATGTCGCAATGCAACCTGGGCAAGATGTGTTTCGAAGCATATTCGAGACCAGGAAATAGCAGCGATACATTTACTTCGGGCTTCTTTGTAATGCTTCATCACTCCGAAAGTACCGAGGTGGGTGGCAAGACTCCATCACTTTTTCTTACGTCGTAACGAGATTCAGATTTCTTGGTTTATCCATGGAGGACAGTGTTCCCATCTCTTCCACAAAATGAACGGTTGAGTCACTCGTGCATATAACTTTGAGCGAGTACCATGCACCCTCAACTGAGGCTTCTGGATTGAAGTCCAGTCCTCCAAAGAGGCTGCCAAGTTAATAGCTTCCATATTTGCTTTCAATAGATTGGGTCTAACTGGGGCATCGGCCTGGTACAAGACGTCTGCTGTGACTCTGAAGATAATCACATCATGATCACATTTAACAAGGTGTGCAAGGTGCCGGATGAAGCACACATCATGTATGTAAGAATACTAAGTCTAGCACTGATGGAGCATGCTGATGATCATATCTGGTTGCTGTCCTAATGTTCTGCATAAGGGCCAAGGAAATCGGTGTTTCCACTAACCTGTGATCAAACGAGTTACGTGATGCCTCTGTTAGTCTATCCCAGTCAACTGATGATGTGTTGAAGTCTTCTACAACTAGGCATCGACAGGTGTCTGTCTAGAGGGTCAGCTTACTCAAGAGGAGGTCTGCTGCGTCACATATAGGGCTTCGGTATACTGCGATTACGTTAACATCTAGTCCCTTGCATTTTAGTCGGTAGCGCAGCAGTTCACGCGTCCCACTTTCCTGTTCAACCGTTTATATGGCTTTCACATTGTGGAGAGAGGTACAGCATGGGACACTCGCACAGTACATTACGCTACCAGACTAAGCTCCTCTATGTAAGCCGTCATTAGGGAATTATTGGCAAATGTGAAAGCATTAATGGAAGTTGTCTCAAATCCAACTCAGTCAATCCATAAGAGGCAAGTCGGCGTGTGGATAAAGGTCACGAAGTAGGTCTAGACCGCCTTGACAATGGAAAACATTTTGTTATCATTGGAACTGTGAAGTACAATTTGAAAAATGTACTGAGCCGTGCGCCTAGCTGAAGCAATCCCTTTGCAAACATAAACGAATGACCCCCTTCTCAGCTAGCGACTAATGAGGAGCAGTCACTTATTCCTTGTTATCGGCAGAAATTATGGCATAGAATTTTCGGTGGATACGCGATTTGCTGTCAGTATCATACTGCGAAGCGAGGTCGAGCTGGGACATCAGAGGTCTTCAATTATACTGCAAGCCGTTAATAAAACATCAATCACGACGTTCGGGCAAAAAACCATGACTTTATCTGGGATTTAAACGACAGTTTCCTTCAGTGTTCACCATAGCAGACCTAGACCTCGTAATACTTGGCGTAGATTTTTGTGGGGAGGTAAGGATTTTTAGTGGACACAAAAGAGCGGAGGTTGACGTTGAAGAAAACGTATCACTACACTATAAATAAAGCAACTTCCACAACCTTGTGTGGTACAACCTCCCCCAGTATCAACGGAAAGGTTTAGAAATATATTGGCTGATATCCCAACCCTGATGTTAAATAACGTACAAACTTCCCAGGTAAGTCCTAAGGTAATACCCAGGGCATAAAAACACTAAGTCCTCCTATGTTCTCAAAACCCAGGAACTGAAAATAGCAACAACTGAATTCAGTATGTTTCAGTTAAGCATTATCCTCCCATTCCAACAGTCACTAGGCTTCCTCAGTACGTATGGGACCCAAGAAATAATAGACAGACGCCTATGTGGTGATTATAGAGCATCAAACATGTAAACTGCTCCTCATACTCAGGACTTCACTAACAGTCTTAAAGGTGCTGAAATCAACCTGGTACGTGCGTATCACAACACCCATGTGGCTGAGGAAGTTGGAAATAGTTGTGTATTTTCAATATTTAAGTGGTCTTGACTGTGTTGCTTCAGTGTTGTTTGCACTGAATCTAGGAAAGGACTTTAGTGTGTTGTCTATGAAAGCTTTTTTGTAACGTGGTGGAGGTCTGTTTTGAAGAATAAAATGGTATGATGTGTTGTTGTTGGTGTTGTTTATGCTCATGATGACTGATTGTTGGTCTTAGAAAATGGTTTTGTTGTTTCACATTCAGTGATTACACGAGTGGGCTGTCGAGGAGACTTTAAGCCACAGTATTATTATTATTATTATTTATCCCTCGGGTTCCTATTGGGGGCTTCATTAGCACGTCCCCACTGCACTCTGTTCTCTGCAAACTTTTGAACCTGGCTCCACGACTGCCCACAAGCTTTCGTTTCTTCCTCACATGATCTCTTCCATGTCACCCTCGGACGCTCAACTCGTCCTTTCCTATTTGGGTCCCACTCGACAGCCTGACCTGGTTCGTGATGTCCCCTAATCGTCTTCCCAGTGTATGCCCAATCCGCCTCCACTTTTGCATATTTGTTGGGCGATGGCTTGTTGGTCAGTTCGTTGCCAGCCAACCAGCAACCGGCAGCTGTTGATGAGTGTGTGTAGTTTGTTGGAAATGCTTTCCGTAACGCGCCAAGTCTCTCAACCGTCACATAGAAGCTCTGGCTTGACTAACTTAGTGTTGAAAATCCAGATCTTGTTTTTTATGCTGAGTGGAGTAGATCACACTGATTTCAGATTAATGCAGGAAGGCCTGTCTTGATGCCTTTCCGATCCTGGCTGGCTTTGACATCCTCATCTTTGCCGCCACCTGTAATTGGGACGATGCTGCCTAGGTAGGTAGGTAGGTAGGTGAAAGAGACAACTTCCTTTAGATTTCTCCCTTTGACGGTGATTGGCGCTTGTTGTTGTTGGTTGGGTATCTTCATCACTCCTGCCTTCTCTACGTTCGCTTGAAGTCCTGTTTTCATTGCTTCTTCTGCCAATATATTAGTTTTCGCCTGTGGATCTCCGGTTTTGTGCTACAAGACATTAGACATAAATCACCATCGGTGAAATCCAGATCTTCTAGGTTCTTTTCATCGGTCAAACAGCGTAACCCATCTTCTCGCTCGTCACAGTTTGCTGCGTGATCCAGTCGACCACAATCAGGAAGATGATCGGTGATAGTAGGCGGCAGCTTTGTCCTACTCCTGTCGCCTGTCTTCACTTCAATGGCATCACTGAGTTTTCCATTGTGAACCACCTGGCATATGCCGTCTTCATATAGCTGTTGAATGAGGTTGATAAAGGTTTGTGGTATGCCATAGTGTTGAAGCAGCTGCCAAATTACTTCTTGGTTGACGCTATCGAAGTCTTTTTCAAAGTCGATGAAATTGAAGTAAAGATCCAGTTGACTGACATTCTATACTCTGTTCAATGATGATGCGTAGCGTTGCAATTTGATCTGTAAATGATTTGTTCTTCCTGAAGTCAGCCAGCCTGTTTTGGTCGTAGTTTTAAATCCAGAGCATTGGTTAGTCTCTCCAGTTGCTAGGATCATATATAGTGCGGATATCTCATGTCCCCAATCTTACTTTCGCTTTCATCAAGAGAAGACACATTGACCAGTTGGCTTTCCGAAGGCTTTTACCAACCGGTGTCATTTCGTCTCCCCAATTCCAGCGAGGAATAAGTTTAATTTTATATTTTCTTTGTACTTTGAAGTTTCTGTAGCGGTTGGATTAGTTTTACAGGGCAGGGTTACTAACCTTATGCCCAACTTTCCCTTTTTATCTGGGCTTAGGATCGGCTAGTAACTAGTTAATCAGGTGAGGTTTTGAGCCACGGTGTGCAGTATTTACCGATTAAGCTGTGAGTTGGTCGTGTTATAGGAAGAAATCAGTTTGAGGACTCCTGATGACTTGGCTGAAAATCGGTCGCAGTTGCACAGATGTATTCACTCCGTAGCATCTTCTGAAGCTTGGATATTCACAATAACTGTTGTCTTCAGATTTTTCATTCTCTTACGCTACTTTATCTACTTTGATGTCATCCCTTTTCTATCCTCCTGCTTTTTTGTACCACTGTGAAGGGTGTTAACTTGGTCCGATGCACCTGTCTGCGAGGTTCCACGTTGATTTTGTCAGCCAGCCTGTTGAGAATTCAGGAGGTGAGTGAGTTGGACCGGATCCGATTTACGTGTGATTGATGAATTTCGCCTCAATTGTGAAAATGGCATTACTGAGAGATGATTGTTGATGTGGTAGACAGTTATGAGGGTCGCGAATAGACGTATTTAACTAGTTGGGTTGTAAAGTGGTGTGTTTGCGGAAACTAGAGATGCTGATTGGTAAGTTGTTGGTGTGTGGAGCGAGGTATTCGTACACAAATCGGTCAGCAGATGGTAAGCGATGTCGCTGTCCAGTCCTCAATGTTAGTTTAGTACTTGTAAAAGTTTGCAGTGTGTCCACTGAACTAAGCTGATTGTCTGGAGTATTTTAAGTTGGTGGCGTTTAATTATAGGAAATGAGTATTGTTTGCTTTTGTGATGTACTGTGTTTTGTGGTGCATCCTAATGTCGATGGATTCAGGCGGCGGAGTTGTTCATGTGATTCGTTTTCTTTGGTTTTTTATTGTGTTTACTTGGAGTTGTCTGTTTTGTGTCTCATGTTGTTGATGAGACGATTTAGCCGTGTATATTGCTGTTTGTGTTGTAGATGTCGGTGAGGAGAAGGTACAGAAGGAAAACCAAAGAAAAGAGAGCGACGTTGCGTACTGGTGGCAAGTCTGAAATCACCTTCATATGTGGTTGGGTGTGAGCCATGGGTGTATGAGGGCTGGATGTTTGTAGTTTCTGCGTTACCATGCGTGATCAATGTAGACGTTATTCGCACGTTTGTGCTTGCACACCACAACGTGGTCTGTATGGTAATGGACTTCACTGATGTTGTTGTTGTGGCTGTGGTTGTAGTTGAGTGTCACATACATATGAATAGACATTCGCTTGTGCAAGAACCTTCAAACTCCGCACTTGATGGTTGCTCGGCTCCTCAGTAAGTGAAAAATATTTATCAGTATCAGGTACTTTGTTCGTTGCATAAGCACTAACCTAATTATGTGTTTATATAGAGTATGTTCAAAATTTCATCGAATATTATCGCAAATATTGAGCATCGAGTAGACAGTTAACACTAAACATGGTTAATATTTGTGTAAGTTACAGCTTGTTGGAAATAAAATGATCCCAACTTTTCGCACGGAAGTCTGTTCCGAACTTTTAATTATTATTTCTCAGATAGTTCTCGGACTCGACTCCAGTGCGAAACGTTGGAAATATTTTGTTTCAAACATGCTGTGACTTACATCAATATTAACTATATTTAATGTCTAGTTATGAATGCTTCTCATATTATGTGCATGAAAGAATAAATCAACTAGACTTGCTTTTAATGGTTCCATATAGAATAGTCTTTCGTATTTCTGTTGTGGACTTTCATTGTACACAGGTAACGATAATAAATTCTAATTGAGATATTCATCACGAACTGACATCAACTGGAGAACCACTCCATTCATCCAAGTCAACATAGGACCAGACATTACTGTGTAACAACCCAAGCTGCCACAGCTCAAATCAGTACGTCAGGTAAAAAGGCAGTGAAGTGGAAGATGAGAAGAAAATTCGGTCGAAAGAAATATAAAGTACTAAAAAAGAGAAAGGAAGGATGAGAAAATGGTGAGATTCAGTATGGCGTCGTTAAGATGAGGATAATGTGTACATACATCTGCGCCATATCACCTAGAGTCAGTCCCCAACCACTGGTTTCTTTTGTCTCGCTGACCCTAACCGGCTCCTGTGCATCGCTCCACATGACTGAAACCAACAGTCAAAGACTTTATACATTGATAGCATGTTTTAGTGTGTCCACCTCGGACCATTTTCCAACGTGAACCTACTTCGGCCAACGAGGCAATCGACGACTAAGTATACATTACAGGATAAAGGTTCACAACTGTGTCAACTGACTTACCTCTTCTCCTTAAAAGTGTACACCTGACGTCTGTGTTACTCACTTGGTGACACCACTGAATATGGCTTATACTACGAAGTCAACGGTGGTTAAGCATGTGAAGCCTACTGATGTCTTGGATATTGAATGGCCATGGGGTAGAAGAGAGCTGACTTGTGTGGAGTACATGCGACCCTTAATAGACAATGTGATATGACGTCGGTGTCAGAGATGGCGTAAGTTAGCAAAAGTGAAGCTAGCCTTTTGTATTTGTGCAGAGATTTCATTGTCCACTGAGCCACCAGGGTTGATCCTACTTCGCAGGTAAGTGAAGTGGTCGTCACACTCAACCACTTCACTGTCTATTGTTAGCTGTGGGACCGTTGAAGATCAATCGTGGAACAACAATTTGTATTTGGGTGGTGGTAAACGCATCCCAAACATTCTCAAATTGCCATTCGAAGTGCCCAGAAGACTCTGCATCTTTACCTAAGAGGACTATGTCATCTACGTATTCTAGGTTTAACGAGAATTGGAGAACCATTGAGAATTTAGGAGCACTGAACACCTTGGTAGTGCGCACCCATAACCACACCAGAGGTTGACCTCGACCTCTGGATTTTGCGGCGATCAATGATCACCACTTTGTTTCACACTCCTGTCAGTCCTTACTTATCCTGTAAATGTTATCGAATACTATTCAGTTTCATTCCCTTTACTCATACAATTATCTCACTGCTGGCTGAATCTATTATTTTCATAGTCCAGCGTTAAATTATCATTCACAGTCAACATTTTCTTAAGGCAAAACTCGGGATTGCGCAACATTTCCCCGAGTTTCCAACCCTCGTGTTCTGCCCTACGTTTCCCCCAATTCTCCCTGCGTTTCCGTGCAAAATGCCTGGAGTTTCCTCGCAAAAATGTTGACTGGGATCTGTTGAGGTTTCTCTCTTGTTTTTGTCAATTTACAGAATATATTGAAAATTTGAACGATGATGAATCTGGAATGCCTGTGGGTTCGATCGCTGGTGATAACGGCAATAATATTCCATTGGACAGTGATATATCTAAAAAATCATTTCATCAAGATGACTCGTCAGTAAGTGATTTGCTCATTGTGAAATCCTCATATCTTTGTCGATAAAGCAAATTTTATCCATGAATTCTTATAAATTCTGGAAAGAATTTTGCAGTTTTTCCTTGGGTTATGAAGTTGAAAAACTCTTGAATTGATTTATTTGTGTCTTCCACAAGTTAGAGCCACTGTCATATGAGAAAGCTGTAGGCAAGTATATACCTTCCAACTGTTGAATACTTTAACCGCCTACCAGTTAGTTGACTAATGTGTAGGCAATCGCATCATTGACAATAAAGGCATTGAAACCGTATGTGTTCTGTCCTATCATTAAACTGTAATTCATCTGAATGGCTGTTATTTATCGAAATACTTATAGCTTAGCGGAAACGAATTTACACTCATTTGTTCTTTTTTGGTTGGTAGCTTTATCATTAGTCTTTTAGTACAAAGTATACAGAGTGCAGCCTAAAACAGTTTGACCCATGCACATTTTCAGGTTATACTTTTGAGGTGTAAGCATAAGCACTCCACAAAACTTCTCTTCGGTGATGTTTTCTTGACTGTTAAGTTGGATCTGGTTTAAACCTTATCGCGATCCAGGTTTTCATTTTATATTCACAATTATCACCTTATATCCGTTTATTGCTTTACAGACTAGATACATAACAGCTATCATTCAACTCTCTTAATTACCAGTAGAAAACTTTCCAACGTGAGGAATTGAGATTGTGTCCATGATGAGTATAATCCTGCAAAAAGTGTAGTCAGCAGATAGTCTCAATCATAAGATACCTAGAAGAAGCTTTGACTTCGAGGCTGATAAAGTCAGGGTTTGACATAAACGACTGAATCATCACATGCGCAGGTAAATATGCGATCTAAAAAAAAAACAAATTCTATCAAGAGGAAAGAGTTATCACTCTATATTTTTATTTCGGTGATTGATTCAGCGTAGAGAATGTGTGTGTGTGTGTACGTGGTAGAATGAGGTTCAGGATGGCAAGTGAATCCCGAAGCATATATCTGTTATTTAGTAAATGACAAACGAGAGATTTCTAATAAAATGACCTATTCAATTAGTATTATCTTCTGTATTATATAAGTTTTAATTTAATGTCAGAGTGTTTAGAAAATCAAATAAGATTTTCCTCAACGTTTTATTATGTATGTCAAGGCTTAAATCAGATTCAGTGCTCAGTTGCTTCCAGAATGTTCCTAACAACTATGAACTGAATGTTGATAGTAATCATTCATCGTATTTATGCTTTCCAGAAGAAAAAAAAGCGCTACTAGTATATACTGTTGCCAGCTGTAATCGTCTTCTTGGTTTATTTAACTATTGACAATTCACTACTAGATATAATCATAATACGAACCCCTGGTTAGTTTATTGTTGAATGATATATATTCACCTTCATGCTATAAAAATCCTAAGGTATGAGATACTTATTTACTGAAGACTATAACGGAAAATCATTAAACCTAATTCAGATATAGCAGAATGTTTTAAGAAACAATTATTTTTATATTTCTTCCCCATATTCTTCATTAAATTGTAGATAAGTAATGAGAACAAGGAAAATATGTATACAGTTAAAGAGACAGATGGATGTTTGGATGTTCAACCGTCCTGCTTGCCTTCTTCATCGTCTTCGTCTGTTGCATTGAAAGTTAGGCTTCCATGGCGTACCCCACACGACTACCAATTTATACCATTCAATTAGTAGGTTATTGTTTTTTCTTACCTATCTTTATATTACCTGATTATTGGTGGACAACCTAATTGTCCATATCTTTGAATATATTCTCTGTCAATGACTATCTTTCCTCTCTTCATGATTTTCACATTTGGTTATCATCTATATGTCATGATATAAGGTGAGATGCTTAATAGTAGACTGTTGTTTGCAGAGATAAAAAATGTAGAAGTTCATCATTTTACCTAGTGTATCATTCCATTCGAGTTTTCCAAATTTTGTGAAGATGATTCAATTTGTCCCATTTCACTTTTACACTTCTGGCTACTGTATTGAATGAATATAATATGTTGATTTATAAACTTGACTGATTCGCATGAGCTTCAGTGTTTTCCTGATCTTAGAGATATTATGTACATTCAGTGGAAATATCCATCTGTCGATTTGCATGAATAACAATACTTGTGATAAATTGCTAATCATTTTATTTTAAGATAGTCAGTTAGCCAGTGTTTTCTTTCATTTCTCTACAAGGTTAATATTTTACAGAATGATATGGTGGTAAATTCCAAAGAGTAGTAGTGTTCCTGCTGGGGCTTGAACCTCTTGCTACAAACCCTGGAGGGTTATACACTAGGCGACCGACTCTCAACTACAATCTCTTATGCAACAAATATCAGTTGTTATTCGTTGATACTTGTACTTTCCCCACTTTTTGTTATTTTGAACCAAATTAGTCGGTGTCTTTTGGCTTATGGGTTAATATGCGGATGTCTTGGTATTGCCTAGAGATTAGTTTTGATTTAATGGAGTTAGTGATGACTAGCAATGAGATTCAGAACACATGTTTTGACCTATTCGGTCTCACCTGGATGTTCTTAGGTCCGAGTGAGTGATGGTTTTCACACTGAAACTCGTACCCAGCATCCACCACCAATCAAATCGTATCACAATTGATATTCAACCAATATCAAGACATCCACATAGGAAGCCATTTGTCAACAGAGATTGATCACTTCAGTTCGACATAAAGTGATTGGTTACAGTACTCTCCGAAGTGCTGCAAAAAGTATGTGAAGATATAGCCTTGTTCCATGCATAATGATTTAACAGGTTTATTTAGCTTATACATGTTTGAATGGCTGATTTCGAAGATAAAATGTAAATGACTGAATATCTGCAAACCAATAACTTTTGTACTGCTTGGTGATTGAAGGTGAGATGAAAATCTGGACCGCAGCCGGATTCGAACCACCGACCACCGGGTTACCGGCCCGATGCTCTAACAACTAAGCTACGAGGTCCGACTGCTGACCAGAATTTTATTTCACTTCAATCACCAACGCGTCACAGATTCACATGGTAGTCGGTCAAAACCCTTGGTGATTGAAATGAAATAAAATTCTGGTCAGCAGTCGGTTCTCGTAGCTCAGTTGGTGGAGTATGGGGTCGGAAACCCCGGTAGTCGGTGGTTTAAATCCGGCCAACGGTCCAGATTTTCATCTCACTTTCAATCATCACCCAGTACAAATATACTAGTCTGCCAAACTACAGGTATCTTAGATAGTTAAATCATAATCAATAACTGTTTTGTTTTGCTTTTATTATTCTGTTCTAATACACTTTTTTTATATATAATAAAATGATTACTTCTTGAGTGAAAGCTTATTTTTGATAGCAATATATCTTTAATGTCAGGTCCCTATCCATGGAATTAATATTTTACAGTTTTTCTTATGAAGATTTCTTATCAAAAGGAACTATTTTTAGACACCATTATGTTTATAATTTGATTGATAGTACATCACCATTGATGTTTTCTTAGCTCATTCATAAGTGAGTAAAGATTTTTCGATTAAAAGTTACGTCGTTCACTTCGATCGCATTCAATAGATATTCTTTGGTTTCTACATTAGTACTTATATTGCTAGAGTGAGAAAAAAAAACCCACTAGCATGTTTTGTATGAAGATGATTGTTAAAAGGAACAACTGAAAAATGGTTATTTAAATTAGCTATCTAAACGGTTATATTATAAACTTCATTGTGATAGGCTTCTGCCTAGCTTACTAATAAATTCTGTGAATTTAGTCATCAGCAAATGTTATGAATTTGAATCTTCAAGGGGGGGAATGATTTGTATAAGATTATGAATAGTAAATAAAATGCAATCAAGTTGTTCATCAGCAGAAATCTATACAGAAATAAAAGCGTGGATATGTGATTGAGAGATACTATGGAGCTAGTTGAATTTCTACCCAGCCTACAGTAAGTTGGGTAGTGTGTTGTTAGGTTAAAAACTCTGACTAGCTTTTAAAAGCTTTACCTAACTCGATCATCATTTGATATATGTTATGAATTGAAATCCTGTGTCATAAGACAGCTTATCACCTTGAGAGATATTTTTTTTATTTCATACCTTTAATTTCTTTTTGTATTTATCAAGTGGACCAGCTATGCTATTCGGTTTGTCTTACTCGCAGTCTGTAACTGCTTGTTGAGTTGAATTCTAACATACACGACAATTTTAAACAGTAAAATCTTAAAATAATAGACAACAAGTATACAAGATAAGGGTAATTCGAAAGGAATATATCAAGAACACTGAAATACTTCGTCAACCAAAATAATTAAGCGGTTCGTACTAATAAATTATAGATATTTTACTTAATGATCTGGTAGTAATAGACGTGGCAAATAATCTCAGGCTCGAAATAGCTGGATTTTTGTCACATAGATAAATCAACATCAGGCAAACAATTTTCAGCACATTCAATTTTCAGTAATGATCGAGTACACCTCGATAATTATGTTTACAATACGTTGAGAAGGCACACTTATTGTATGAGGAATGGTAGTGTTATCCGATTGCTCAAATTGAAGGTAAATGTGGTTTGAAATAGGACAATAGTTGAGTCACAAATACACTATACAACCAAGCTATTCCTTATATTTCAATCTGCTACTATCGCCTATCTCAGTCGACACAGAATGTTCTTTAAGCAATGATGAAACAAAATCCACACTTGATATGATTCGAACTCTGTATTTTTCACAAACACTTATTCTAGGTATCTGGCCACAAAATGTGATGAGTTAGTATTTCAACTAAGTTGAATACACCTTTGAAAAATGAATATTATACATTCAGTTTCTGTTTTGAATTGAGAAATACTGAGTGACATGAATCCTATTATGGAATGCACGTTCATTATACGTTCAATCATCGAGTATTCAACGAAATTACTTCATCACTACTTGTAGTGCTCTGTTATATACGTCAATTGCAAGTACGTGTACACGGCCTTAGATGGACATAATTCGTGTAAGATTAGAAATGCATCATGCTAATAACTACCAATGAACAGGAAATCTTGATCATGGTAGACTTCTTGCTGATTGAATTCCATGAACCTGAATAATTTTAACAGCTTATTGTTTTTAACCTCTAAATAGAAATAACTGTATAATTTGCTGTTAATATATCTGGATAACCATCTTAATGGAAACATCTTACTATTTTCTATTCTACCTTCTTCTTTTAGAAACGGAAAAACCTATGTTTACAAGTGATGGTCCTTTACGACGAAGTAAAAGATTGCAAGTACCAGCAATGCATGATAGAAACAAAGTCATTGTATATTCTCCTGATGAAGATGAATATGGTATAGTATATCAAAAGCCTGTTGGAATTGCTATTTTACCTAGTCCAAGAGAAGTTAGCAAACGTCAAAAATTTCTCAGTCGTTTAAATCGTTATCGCAATAATAATAATAATAATAATAATAATAATAATAATAATAATAAGCAGATGTTAAGAAATGAGAAAAATCGTCGTACCAAACGTCTTCGAAAACTAGCAAAGCAATACAAACTAACGGAAAGTATGCATGTTTGAAAGGCTGTTACACTTTTTTGGGAGAAAAATTATGAATTTAGTTATTTTTCTTTGATAACGTTTTAATTATGTGAAGTAGATGCGTTTTCAGTCATTCTTAATATTCATTCCTTTACATATTTTTTGTAACATATGTTCATCTTTTAGCTAGTATCATTTTGAAAAAAGTGCATGATAATAGTGTGTAAGCTACACAATAACATAATGGAATGAAAACTACTTCTGTTTATTGGATATATCCATTGGAAGAAGATATGAAAGTATAATGAAAAGAAACACTTATCTCACGAAAACGTGAAGAAGATAGTGTTTAAACTAGAACATTTACTGTGCAGTGAACTATAAATGAAATTTATTTGAGTTATTGTTTACTTCAATGAACTATTGCTTCAAAACTGGTCTGCGTTTATATCTTGTCTAAGAAAATGGAGTGAATTCGTTGAACACATTGACTACTACTTCACCTACTTGGAAAGTTGAATCACCCACCACGGGTGGGTGAGTGGTGGACGAAATCTCTGCACGGTACAGAAGACTTGATTAAACTGTACTACGCGTAGTAATTCACTTCGTTCGACTTATCTACGAAACGTGATCATTAAATGTAGAGGATATGAGATTACAGATGTTCGACCACGGTTGTATTCGTTGAACTGATCGTGACGTAAATAACGCAGAAGTCTGGTGTCACTGTTGAGTTTTACGTGAAACAGGGGAGTCGTTTGCTCAGGTTATAAGCCATCTTTGACTAGGGTGGCTGGAATATGTGTTATGTATGCGTAATCACTGGGTGCCCTGTCGCTCAGTGTTAACTGAAGTACGTTTACGCTAGGCGATATGGTTCATCATCATATCACATTTCGTCATTATTGTACCGTGCTTCCTCTTTTGTTTACACTCCCTACTACTGTTAACTAGTTATTTCTGTGCTTCTGTATCTCTCATCTTTGTCCCTCCTACCTCGATGTTGTGATGTGAATTGTAGCAAGTGTGAATCGTTAGGCAGTAGTAGGGTTCCACGTTGATATTGACTGCATTACTTCAGATATACTTGTCAAGCGAAGCAGGTATATTGGAATGACAGAAAGGTTGGGTTCTTATCTGTTTCTCCGAACATATTCCAGAAACATTTTGGCTGGAAGAGTCTTCATCATTTATCACTGCAGTTTCTCTACATCTAATGGCTTCAGAAAGAAGGAGCGGTCAAAAGAAGTAGAAAGTAGTAAAAGAGAGGAAAGAGGAATAAGAAAATGATGTAATTAAGTATAGTGGTTAAGATGAGGGTAATATGTGTACACATCTGTACCACTGACATCGGTTCTGAGCTATATCACCTAGAGTCAGTCTCCAACCCCTGGTTTCTCTTGTCCCACCAACCAGCTAGTTTGCATCGTCCTACATGGCTCAAAAAATAGTCAAGGACTTTATGCATTTATTCCATCTTTTAGTCTGACCGCCCCGGACCTTTTTCCAACCCGAAACTACTTCGGTCAACATTGTCCGACAAGGTAGACGGTGGTTAAGCATACTTAACACATGTCTCCGCCATCTCAGTCGATGAAGGTTCACAACCATATCAACTGACTTTCCTCTCCTTCCTAAAACTCTACGTCTGACTTCTGCGTTACTCTATTGCTTTTAAGTAGTTATTACTAGTCTAATACTTTTGCCTAATGCTACTCTTTACCTACCAATAAATCCATTAGTTTATCATAAGGTTTTGCTCGAAACGTATGCCGTCATCTTTTATTAAAAATTTTAATAACATACGGTTTTCATTATTCCTGCAAGGTTTTGTGGTTTTTATTACTGAAACCAGCGTGGATATCTTCTCCACTCAGCATAAAGCGTGAACAACATCCGGATTTTCAACACCAGTTCACTCAAGTCAGTGCTTCTATGTGATGGTTGAGATACTTGGCGTGTTACGAAAGGGATTTCCAACAAACTACAGATATTCATCAACAACTGCCTACGCTGGCTCGCTACTGAAGCTCAAATGAGATGGCCAGAAAGAATAAGCACTGAGGAACTCTGGCTGGCAACGAAGCAAGAACCTATCACTCAACAAATATGCGGTGGAAGGAAGTGGAGATGGATTGGGCATACACTGAAAAGGCCGACTTGGGACATCACGCGCCAGGCCAGGAAATCGAGTGGAACCCAGTTGGGAAACGGCGAGTTAGGCGTCCAAGGGTGACATGGAGGAGATCGTGTGAGGAAAAAATGAAAGGTAATGGGCTGTCATTGAGTCAGGTCCAAAAGATTGCAGAGAACAGAGTGGAATGTAGATGTGCTACTGAAGCCCTATGTTCCACTAGGAACCCAAGGGACAAATAAATAATAATATAAATAAATACTCACAGTTTCACAACTTGCTCTGAAAAGTTTACCTCTGTTTCTGAACCTTAACGTCTCTGTTGTTAGCGATATTCATGCTTATACATTGAAGATTCAGGGAGTCCAACCATACTTAAACATAAATCTTATTTCCACTGTACTTTAACTTAAAGGTTCGCCGAAAGAGAAAGTAGATAGATGTTTTGAAATTCAACTTGATCCAGACGTTCAATGGATGCCATCTACTGAAACGCATTTATCTACTAGTCTTAGTGAAATATCTTCATCTCAACGTAAGTGATGTATTTCAGTTGTAATGCCCTCAGAGTTTTTCATGTTTCAGTTTTCCAGTCAGATTCTGGTTTACATTTCATATCATAATCATCCTCATTACCGTTACATAATGGTTAATTTATGGTCATTTTCGATAGACGTTAGATTATCTACTAATATTAGACCTTGTACACCTTACCCAATCTCTCACTCTGCAACCATTGTCAACGATCAAAGCCATAGAAACCTCATTCCTAGTCTCTTAAGATCCCACCGTCGATATTACTTAGGAGCTTTCAACGTTCGAACGTCATGCCAAACCCGAGACCAAGCATTGCTCACCAGAACTCCGGAATCTGGCCACAGTAGTGAGTCTTCAAAATTCCCCTTACGAGTATCCAGAGACTCGACGATTAGATCTTGTGGAGTCGCTGGTCCAGAGATAACATTGAGTTGTAGGGCAGAAAGTGCGCATCTCCACTGCATACCAATCAATAGCCGTCTATATACCGTTCGACTGAATGGATCTGTAAAGACTAGGATGAATCATGAAACTAGGCGTTGTCTATTCGTAATCCACCTACACGCCCCATGGACTGTAGTTCGGATGATGCAAAGGATGAATTCTATGAGAAGCCGTCAACTTTGCTACAGTAAGGAAAACGTTCAGATGTAGTCATAGTAGCAGGTGACTTTAACGCTCAAGTGGGGAAGCTGAGCCAATCGGAAAAGCATCTTGGAGGTATTTACGGAATCCTATGTCAAAGAACCGACAACGGGGATCGTCTTTTGCAATTTCGCTCCGACAGTCACTTGCTTCTGGCTGGCACTGACTTTAGGCATAAGAAGATACACTATCTCACATGGCGTCCACCGACATCAAACCAACGGTGAACACAGGTAGATCACATTGCTATGAGCCAGCCATCGCTGAAGAGGATCGGCGCTCTTTCTGCATTACCAGTTTAAACTCCGATCACGCTCTAGTACGGGTCCGTGTATGTCTCTGCCTTACTGGTAGCAGGAAACGCAATAGTAAAGCCTGTCTATGGTCAATTGAAAGATAAAAACATCAAGTTCGAATTTAGGGAAGAACATGACAGCGTTGCTCATTCTGGGGAAACCTGACATGATACTAAGTCTGTTGTAGAAGCAGCGGTAAAGACAAGTTGGTAACCTATACTTGAAGGTTAGCAAACGTCATTGGATTTCTGCGACATCATCCGAAGTGATTGTTGTGAGAAGACTGACTTCAGCTTGCTCTGACGATGTTGGAGAGCGAGAGCAACTGAAACGTAAGTTAACCAAGTGTCTTCGTGTCGACCGCGAGCAGTAGGGGTGACGAAAACGAAAGAGGTGGAGAGGACATCAATGGTAGGTAGGACTATTTAGGCTTATTAAGGATACCGTTAAGAAGATGATAGTGAATGAAACTACCACTGAAAAGAATGGGATACTGATAACCTTCCAGTTAGGATGGCTAGAACGTTGGGCAGAGCACTTTGAAGCGCAATTCAACTGAACCTCACCAATACTTCAGTTGCCCAACATCCAGCCTGAGCCTGAATGGGTCCTCCAACTCTCCTTGAAGTTGAAAAAGTCTCATGGGTCTTAGAACGATGCAAATCAGCAGGATCTGAAGTTTTCAAGGATGAAGGTAGGAAATTGCTACTTTAGGTGATGAAGGTACTAGGTAGTGTATAGAGATCAGAGGTTAGTGCCTTCAGACTGGTCTACTTCACTGATCATTCCAGTCTGTGAGAAAGGAGAAAAGTCCTCTTGTGACAACTATGGAGAAATTAGTTTGACTAATATCGTGCCGAAGGTCCTAGGGTCCATAGTTAGCCGATGCCTAACTGGAGCTGGAGAACAGCAAACTCGAGAAAACCAGTTAGGTTTCAGACGGCTGGACGAGGGTGCTATGATCATATTTTAACCCTCCGATAAGATCTGGAGCACAGGTATACTTACCGGCTGCCGACACGCCATATGTCTCGACCTGAAGGCAGCATTCGACTGTGAGGTGTTGTATGTCAGTGTCCGACTGTGAAGGAAGTACCGAGCAAGTATATAACACTAATCAAAGCTCTGTACTCAAACCTACGCAGCCGTCCCAGGGCTTACGAAGATTTGTCAAGTGGATTGGCGACAGTTATTGGTGTTCGCCAGGGTTGCCCACTGTCACCGTTCCTACTTAATTTCATCATAAACGTAGTAATGGACATAACCTTAGGTAAGTCTGACTTCACAGGGACTGATACACTCTCTGAAAAGCAGCTGGTTGACTTGGAGTGTGCAGACGATATTGTCCTGCTGACGTAATGCAGAGTCTTCTGAAGGTGTTGGGTAGGAATCTAGGTATGTTTGGCATGCGTTTCACACCCGTCAAATGTAAGATGATGCTTCAGGACTAATCTGCTGCAAGTACTCCCAGTTTGATGTTAGAGTAAAGTGATGGTTGTTGCATCATTCCCAACGGTTTGGTTGCTGACGAAATCTCAGCTCGAATACGGAAAGCCCGTTTGGCATTTTCCAGCGTGTGAACTATGGCGCCGATTGGGGAGATATCCGACTATCTATCAAACGACGAGTATACTGCCCTGCAGTTCGTTCTCTCCTGTTGTACGGCTGACATGGCCGTTAAAAGTAGAAGAAACGAAGTGATTACTGGTTTTTGATCGCAAATCTCTTCGTAGCATTGCTCGCTTTTGGTGGAATCGGCGTGTACGCAACACTGAGGTCAGGCGAAGGCTACTAGGTAAAACAGGCAAGTCGATTGATGAGGTTGTCGACTGAGATGGCTTGGACATGTCATGTTCTGTACTTGCCGAGCTGTCGCCTACCTCGACGTGCAATGCTAGGAGAAGTTGAATTGGGTGGGAACAAGGTTGAGGGTGGCGAGATTTAAGACGTGGCACCAGTCGATGAAGTCTCCTAACTGTTGACTTGAGCCACTTTGGGAGATATAGAATGCCTGGATGGGGTCCTGGGGACGAAAGGAATCAGTGTTTGATAACTCTTGGTAACATGGCTGAAAATCGGTCTCAATCCCGCAGTTATATTTACTCCTTCATATCCTCTAAAGCTTGAAGATTCGCACTAACCGTTGTCTTCAGATTGTTTATTTTCCTGTACTACTCTATTTGCTATGATATCACTCCTTTTCTATCCTCCTGTTCTTTGTGTACTACTGTCAAGTGTGGCAACTTGGGCCGATGCACCTGTTTGGGAGGTTCTACGTTGATTTTGTTAGTCATTATTTTAGGAATAGTAATTGAGGTAGTAAGGGATTGTGGCTTTATTGGTTCAGGGAAATGACAACAAACTGACTGGGTGATGGATTGGAACAGCAATCCACCTTAATTTTGGCCAACCAGGCAGTATCATTAACCTTTACACAATTGGTGTAGCTGATTACCTACTGTACGAATTTGGACGAGTTAGTATCTCCAATTTTGTATTATTCTCTAATGTTACTAAAAAAATGAGTAATAACTAGATTTTACAAACTTCTTTGAGTATCGTTTGAATGGTAAAGTATTTTTTGTCATCAGAACTTGTCATTTAATTTTCATTCGCCTAATCTATAACAAATCGTGACTTCACACTGTATCATTTAATTTGTTTGGTTATCTTAATTGTCAGTTTACACTAGAAGAGTTTCGAAGCTAGTTGTTAGCCCATGAAATTTAAGTGCATGCCTACCTGTCACCATAGTAAGATGCAGTGTTCACTGATTTGGCATTTGGTTTTAGAAGTTTGCTGCTCTTGTTTAGAATACAAATTAGTTGGTCTTACACTTCCAGTCAATATTCTTTTATATATTTTGCTACAAATTTGATTGAGTACTATTTCATTTTTCTACGTACACCAAATATGTTTAGCCTTAAAATATAGGTATAGGATATGAGAAAACTTCAGGTATTCAATTACTGTTGTCTTTGTAGCACCATAGGCTGTTCGTCATGGTGTCACCATGTAGGATTCAGGTGTAGAGTTTTAGGAAGAAGAGCAAAGGTTGTGAACCTTTTTCGATTAAGGTGTCTGGGATGCGTGTGTATTACGCATCCCTAGTCACCATTTGCTACATAGCACAATATTAGCTTATGCTATAAGTTCAGGCTGTTGAACGGTTAGAGGCAACCAAACTGAAACATCACATCATTATCTGAAGTCTTGGACTTGTTGGTTTGAACTGTGCAGGATAATAAAAACTCCCAGGCTGGTGTCCGCATCACGACACAAACCAGAAGTACAGGACTATAAGTGATATGATTCAGAATCAATTTCAGTAGTGAATATATATATGTATGCATCATTCTTTCTTGCCCTCTTTTAATGACTTTCTACCTTTTTCGACTTCTTTCTTCGTTCTTGGTCTTTCATCTTGGTACATTCTCATTTAATGTGCTGATATGAGGTTTGATAATAACTTGGACCAATAATACGAGGTCCCCTGTTTATTTTGTCTGCGTATCTTGATATTTAGGTGACGACACATATTAATCCTTTGTTTTTTGATTGTAGAAGTAATATTTCCAGAGAAAGCACAATTCCCACAGATTTCTTCTTCCACCTCTATTGAATGTTCAGTGTATATTGTTCCCGCACTGTCTGGTATCTTTCCTAGTCAAGGTCAATCTCATATTCCTTTTTTTGAAATGGATACAAATCTTACACGAATATTTAGTAGTGAACAAGAAAGATGCCAACTCCATTGTGATCCAGACGGTATAAATATATTCAAACTTATGTTTCCTCGTCCACTCCCTGTTTCTCCAACAATTCTTTATGCTGTACAAATTACGAGATTCGCATTTCCTTTCACAAAGGCATGTATGATATTTATTCCAAAGGGTAAGTATTTTTTATAGAGAAAATATCTGTAGCCTATTTTTTTTTGAGTTAATTCACGAAAATAATTTTTCTTCTACACTTGAGGTATGCTAGTTTAATAAAGGTATTTTGTTATGTTGTGCTCTTTTCATAGATGATTCCTATCACAACCAGCTTAAGGAGATGTGAAATAACTTGAGAAAATGTATAGACATAGTATTCATCATGGACTGACATCAGTTGGAGAACCATTGAAAGTCTGGGTGCACTGGACAGCTGTTTCATCCTAGTATGGGACTTCTCAGCAGTCATAAATTGACAGAATTTAGGAATTATGAATCACTGGAAACCAACCCTTCGCTGTGAAACCTGAAGGTCCTGAGTTCAATCCCTAGCCGCGTAGGAGGTGCATACTGCTGAGGAGTCCCTTACTAGGACGAAACAGATTTTCAATGGTTCCCCAACTGATATCAGTCCATGATGAATACTACTTCTAGATTAAAAATCTCCATTCATCTTAAAAATGCATTAAAAATGTATATTAGATGTTCACAATGCCTTAATGTACACTTTCAACGATGAACTAGGTTTTTGTCTGTTTGTTTGTTTATTCCCTGCCAACTTTTGCTTCGCTATTTAGGTGTCTTTATTTTCTTTACTGTTATTGTCTCTTTTTTTTTCTTGAGATATAAAATATTTTAGTTTGTTTCCTACTCAATTGTTTACTTGATATTAGCATACAATGAGTGATACAGTATTATTTGCTGGATGATGATGATGATGATGACGTTTTGAGCAGAATGTATCGTTCATATTCATATGAAATTATACTCTATCATAGTGTTAAAGTTTTACGCCTACATTCTTTTTTCTACTTCATTCAAGTCATAACAATACTTTGTAAGATACTCCTACTTATTTGTTTTAATGGGGGGTGGGGTGGGGGCAACGAAGCACTGTCACAGTATGAAAAAATTTCAGCATTGGGTAAATGATATTCATTATTTTGATATTTGTATTTCCCAATGAGAATGTAAAAAAGAATAAATTTATTTCAACTGACGTTTTGCTATTTACTACTATTAATTTTATCAAAGTTATAGTGAACCGGCATTTACAATATCTAAACTTATAAGTGATAGTTTGACAAGTGAATTTTTGAGGGAGTTGTGAGGATTTGGAAATATTTCAAGTTGTTATTCATCGTAGAATGACATCGGTTGGAAGAACGAAGGAGACCTGGTAGCACTGAATAGCTGTTTCGTCCTAGTATGGGACTCCTCAGCAGTGCGCACCTACGACCCCGCCAGGGATCGAACCCGTGACCTTCAGGTTCCGTGGCCAGCACGTCAGTCAGTCAGTCAGGCTACGATGAATAACAACTTGGAATATTTCCAAATCCTCACGACTCCCTTAAAAATTCAGGTGAACTGGTGCTCATTAATGACTAGCTTCGAGAGGTATTCCCGAAGTTCCAATGAGAAGTTGTGACCGGTGGGGGCACATCCTGATCGTTATGAGGACAGTTACTCAACGATGACATTGGGTGGTGGTTGCGCTATGTCGTGAGCTAACAGAAGTTGGAAATACCGACGATTGGATTCTGACCCAGTGGCTCAATGGTAACGTGTTGGCCACGGAACCTGAAGGTCGTGGGTGCGCACTGCTGGGGAGTCTCATACTAGTGGGACGAAACAGCTGTCCAGTGCTCTCAGGTTTCCTTTGTCCCTCCAACTGATGCCAGTCTACGATGAATAACAAGTTGAAATTTGACAAGTGTTATTCCGCATCGTCAGAATTGTAGGATAAAGATGATATCCATATATAATGTGTTGTATGTAATGAGTGTCTGGATTACAGATTGTGATTTGTATGTACACATGTGTTGATAGTTCTTATCATATGTATGATGGTTATGTCAGTATATCGGGGTTGGTTGAGACCAGGTCAAATTACGTTTTACTCCATCATTCCTATTTAAACAATTTTGATTCGAGAAGTTCTTCATAATTTCTAAAGCCTTTCTGAATAATTTTGATATTGTAAAAGTCGACCTTATGATCTGAAATCATAGCATGTAAAGCTATGGCTGATGTGTTTTGAAGTTTTTTCAGTTTCACTGGATTTCTTGGAGGTCGTATGAGATGGCTCTTCTGTGTTCATTTTTTCCTAATTTTCATTTCATGGGAAGTTTGTTCTATGTATATTGCATCACAGTCTGACCATTTTATTTTAGAAACACAATTAGATTGTGGATCTAGAGGGATCTTGTCCTTTAAATGAACTAAGTTGTTCTCCAATGTGTTTGTGTTAAGGATGCCGATATGCCTTTTATTCCATACTTACAGTTTTGTATATATTTGAACTGTTTATTCGCGCTCTTTTTCTGTGCATGGGTCATATTTCATATGACACGCTATTGTTCTAGTTGGCTCCTGACTCTTTAAGTGTACTAATGATTCGTTGTCTTCAAGGTTATTGTAACCTTGTAACCTTAGCTCTCTACTCGAACACTTGTGGGCATGTTAGAGCCTATGGCGAGTTGTCCAGGGAGCTATACTCATCAAGTGGTGTCCGTCAAGGATGCCCACTATCCCCATTCTTATTTAATTTTATCGTAGATATTCTTATGGAGGTTTCCCTCTCGTCACCTAATTACAAAGACGTTGACCCGATCACAGGTGAATTTTCTTTAGATCTAGAATATGCAGATGACATAGTCCTGTTAGGTGAAGACGCTGACAAGATGCAGAGTCTTCTGAACACTTTGAGTAGGAATTTGAGAATGTTTGGGATGCGATTTTCACCACCCGAAGGCAAATTTTTGCTCCAGGACTGGTCTTCAGCGGTACCGCGGCTAACAATAGAGAGTGAAGTGGTTGAGTGTGTTGACCACTTCACTTACCTGGGAAGTAGGATCAACCCCGGTGAGTTAGTTGCCGACGAGATTTCTGCACGCATACAAAAGGCTCGATTGGCTGTTGCCAATTTGCGCCTTTTATGGCGCCGCCGTGATATTCGTTTGTCTATTAAGGGTCGCATGTACTGCACAGCAGTCCGCTCTGTTCCACTGTATGGCTGTGAAACATGGCCATTGAAAGTGGAAGACATGAGAAGGTTACAGGTATTTGACCACCGTTGCCTTCGTAGTATAGGCCGTATTCCGTGGTGTCACCATATGGATAATGCAGAAGTTAGGTGTAGAGTTTTGGGGAGAAGAGGTAAGTCAGTTGACGAGGTTATGAACCTTCATCGACTGAGATGGTTGGGACACGTGTTACGTATGCCTAGTCACCGATTGCCTCGTCACACAATGTTGGCTGAGGTGAGTCCAGGCTGGAAAAAGGCCCGAGGTGGCCAGACTAAAACATGGCGCCAATGTATGAAGTCTCTGACTGTTGGTTTAAGCCATGTAGGACGATCCAGACTAGGTGGTTGGGGTCCACGGGACAAGAGGAACTAGTGGTTGGAGACCCTAGGTGATATGTCTGAGAACCGAAGTCAGTGGCGCAGATGTATACACACATTATCCTCATCTTAACAACGCTATACCGAATCTCACCATTTTGTCACTCCTCTTTCCTTTCTTCTCGTACTTTATATTTCTTTTGACTGCATTCACTTATCTTCATCCTTCACTTCACTACCTTTTTACTTGATGTGCTGATATGAGGTGTGGCAACTCGGACCGTTACGCAGTAATGCCTGGTCCTATGTTGATAATGATGATGAGGTTATTGTAAACTTTATAAATAAGGTAAGTTTTCACTCATAAAAGCTTCAGTTCGAGATACACTATGAACTCATCTGGTTTCCAGTCTTTTGATTTCTGTTTGCGAATCACTCAGGTTGCATCACCTCAACCTTCGACTACCAATCGTTAAGTATTTCCGTTTGTTCTCACAACTTTGCATCATAATAGTTTGATGTTCTGTTGAAAACTCCGATATTGTATTTGTTGGGCTATCTCCTAATTTCATCTGATATTTATGATCTGTAAGGGATAACTATTGTTGTAGCTCATGATTTAGCCGTAGTTTTATAACCTAATTCAATGTTATTTTATTTTCTTCGAGTGAATTCCACCAGATAATTATTCATTCTAAGTACCTTATTCTTTCATTTTCATCCATTACTAGAATGTGTGCTCTCCTTAAGGAACTAAATATAACAGAAACTTCTGCACTAATTGGATGTGATGTTTTGAAATCTAAATATTTGTTTGAATGTATTGCTTTTCTGAAAATGGTTATACCTAAACGTTCATTTTCTTTCCACTTAACAAGACAATTAAGGAAAGGTAGTAACCCCTTAGGCGTTTCTTTTTCTAAGCTGAACATGACACTAGAACATCTGTAGTTCCGCTAATCTAAGAATCTCTGGTATAAGTGTTACATTTTAAAATTACGAATGTGCTATCAACATACTTCAGCCAAATTTTTAGCTTTAGTAAGTGAGTGAAGACATTTTCATCGAATTTTCTCATAAATAGGTTAGCTACTATAAATGAAACTGGTGAACTCATAGCAACACCATCAGTTTACCTGTATAGTTTTCCTCTATAGGTTTTTGTTCTACATTCATTGAGAAATACAAAACTAAATGAATACTGTCATAGTATTTCAAAAAACCCTTTTTCTTACTGTTGCTAAGTATATCCATTTTCTTTTTGAGATAGTTTTATTACGGACTGATATCATTTGGTTGAACCATGAATACTACCTCGTTGAACTAAAAATGTGTGTTGCAGTTAATGTATAAACGTTGTACAGTTTTCTATATGCACAGTCCTGTGTAGTAGTGGCATTATCATCCGACGATAGGCGAAATAATAAAGTGAAGTTTTGCAATCATAGAACAGCTATTACTAAACTTTTTGTACTTCCCTCTTATCTTCGATTAAAGTAGCTTATCTCTTTTTTCAGTACAACCACACACATTGATAACCTCGCCTAGTTTACTAGATGGTTCTAAGCCTGGGAAAAGAGGGAAGGTTGGGCACGGGGCTAGCGACCCTACGCCAGAAAATCAATCCAATCGCTAAAGAAACTTCAAAGCATAAAGGAAATATGAAAAATAAACTTGATCTTCGCTGGAATTGGGGAGTTGAAATGACGCCGGTTGGTGAAATCCTTCGGGAAGCCAATTGAAGTTTTTTTGATCGACCAACATCCACTTTTAAACACAACTCACTGTCATTACGTCTCGTCAGAAAAAAAGCAATGATTAAGGGATTACAACACAAGGATATTCACAAAGCGACATGAATTTCACCAAACGGACACACTAAAAATCAGATTGACTTCATTTCAATCTGCAGAAAGTGGAGACGCAGGCTATTGGACACAAGATCACTATCTAGTGCAAGGAACCTTCAAAATCAAGCTGGTGATGATAGAGTGAAGTTCAAGTTCAACACCCAAAACAGAAACTAAAGGACGAAATTACAAATGGCATCTTCACATCAGCCATCAGGAAAAAAAAGGGAGACATTAGGCAACATCTCGGGGAAACCTGCATAACCTTGTTAGGAAGGATGTAGAAACAAGTCAAGGAATGGATCTCGACGGACACATGGAAGCTGATGGGGGAGGGAGAGGAATATGGTGAAGCAGATAAACCAGTGCAGGGATGAACAACGAAAAAAGGAACTGAACACAACCTACAAAACAGTCGACAAAGAAGAGAAGAAGAGTGCGCGCAAAAATACTCACTGGCAAGTGAAGCAGAACAGGTGGGAGAGACTTGACAACATTATAGCAAATAGCCAGGAAGAGATCAACACAGATGGAACCAATGAAAGATAGTGGAGGAATCCAAGTTACCAAAGAGAAGAAACAAAAGAAACAATGTGCTGACCACTTCAAAAAACTCTTGAATCGAACACCACCTGCACTTCCTCCAGAAATACCACCTGCAGTCACAGAACTACTAGAAAACACAAGCCCTCCGATAAAAGGAGAAGTCCTGGACGCTATAGAGTTGCTGAATTCCGGGAAAGCAGCAGGACCAGATGGAATTCTTCCAGAAGCAGTAAAAACAGACGATGAGACAACAGCGGACATGCTCACACCACTACTGCAGAAGGTTTGTAGGGAAGGGACGAAAGGTACCTGCCGATTGAAAGAAGTGCTACCTTGTCAAACGCCCGAACAAGAGCGACCTAAGTCTTTGCAAGAACAAGAGCTGGTGCGGCATCATGCTCCACCCCTGTCCATCCCAAGCAAACTATTAAGCGACATCATCCTGGAGAAACTAAAAAATGCTCTGCATTCAAAATTACGACCGGAACAGGCTGGCTGGCTTCAAGAAGAACAAATCATGTGCGGATCAAATTGCAACGCTACGCATCATCATAGAACAGAGCATAGAATGGCAGTCAACTAGATCTTTACTTCAACTTCATCGACTTTGAAAAGGCTTTCCGTAGCATCGACCAAGAAGTAATTTGGCAACAGCTTTAACACTACGGTTTTATTGCCACAAACGTTTATCAACCTCATTCAACAGCAGCTATCTGCTACATGATGATGCTACATACCAAGTGATTCACAATGGAAAGCTCAGTGATACCTTTGAAGTGAAGAGAGGAGTAAGACATAGCTGCTGCCTACTATCACCAATCATCTTCCTGATTGTGGTCGACTGGACTGGATCATGCAAGACACTGTGAGGAGCGAGAAGATGGGTTACGCTGTTTGACCGATGAAAAGACCCTAGAAGATTTGGATTTCGCCGATAATGATTTATGTCTGTCTAAAGTCGCACAAACTTGAAGATCTACAGGCGAAAACTAATAAATTGGCAGAAGAGGCTAGGCAGCGAAGGCGAGACTTATTTCAGGTCAACGTAGAGAAGACAGAGGTAGAGGTAATGAAGATACCCAACCAACAACAACAAGCGCAAATCACCGTCAAAGGGAGAAATCTAAAGGAAGTTGTCTCTTTCACCTACCTACCTACCTACCTAGGCAGCATCGTCCCAATTACAGGCGGCGGGACAGATGGAGATGTCAAAGCCAGCCAGGATCGGAAAGGCATCAAGACAGGCCTTCCTGTATTAATCTGAAATCAGCGTGGAGATCTACTCCACTCAGCATAAAAAACAAGATCTGGATTTTCAACACTAAGTTAGTCAAGCCAGAGCTTCTATGTGACGGTTGAGAGACTTGGCGCGTTGCGAAAAGCATTTCCAAAAAAACTATAGACATACACAAACAGCTACCACCTACTCTCACTCAATACTGAGGGTCAGATGACAAGAATAATAAGAATAAGCAACAAGAAACTCTGGCCAGCCAACTAACCAAGAACCTATCACCCAACAAATATGCAGGTAAAGAAAGTGGAGATGGATTGGATTGGACGTACACTGAGAAGACGATTAGGGGACATCACGCACTAGGTCGGGCCGTTGAGTGGAACTCGCTTGGGAAAGGGCGAGTTGGGTGTCTGAGGTGAGGGTGACATGGAGGAGATGGTGTGAGGAAGAAATGAAAGTTTGTAGGCAGTCGTGGAGTTAGGTTCAAAAGACTGTCGAGAAGAGAGTGAAATGGTGACGTGCTACTGAATCCCTATGTTGCACTAGGAACCCAAGGGACAAATAATAATAATACCAGATGTTTTATGTTACATTAAGCTTTACGAAGTCTAAATAATTGGATTAGTTTACTTCAAAAGTTCAAACTATTTCATGAATGGTATTGTGAATGATTTCCTTCACACGAAATCAAAGTTTGCCATTCTTCCTCACATACGCGTGTACACAGCTCAAATCCTTCTACCATCAACTTAGCATCGTCATCAAGTATGCGTAACTTTATGCAGCTGGTAGTTATTTAACAAAATGAATCTCAAACTGAACATCAGTTCCGTTGAGATTACAGATACGCCTTGCTGACGACTGCCAACAATCATGGAACTTAGGTCCACGGCTTCCCATCCGCTGATTTCCTCCATCCAACTAACATCTATCAAAGTACATCGCGATGCGGAGCTGCGTAGTCTAGTGGCTACATTACTAAATGGTCAATAAGATTGGATCAGTGCATAGGACTAGACAACATAAAGTTGGTTATCCTCTAGCGAACTAAAAGAAATATTATATACATCATACTGCTAGAGATATCTCTTTTTAGACATGTCCATGAAAACTTTGTACTTCCACTGTTCTGTTGGTGACTTCTTCTTTCTTGTATTAAAGCCTACACTTTAACTCTTTCCGCACATTTAAAACCTTGCTTTTTGTGTACAAATTTGTTAACTTTTGGAGTTATCATTTTGACTATGTGAAATAGCTGTAGTTCGGCAGACTAGTGTTTAAACTAGGTGATGATTGAAAGTGAAATAAAAATTTAGACCGCAGCCGGATTCAAACCAGTGACCACCTGGTTTCCGACCCGATCATCAAAATAATAATCAGTATGATGCTCTCCTTCTTATTTTAATTCAGTTAGATTTGAATTTGGATGAGATCTCCTAACTAGGCAGCCAGTTTGAGTACGATGAAGCGGTAGTAACGCGTCACGAATTCACGTGGTATTCAGGCAAAACCTATTGTGATTGAAGTGAAATAAAAAGTCTGGTCAGCAGTCGGATCTTGCAGCTCAGTTGGTAGAGCATTAGGTAGGAGACCCGGTAGTCGTTGGTTTGAATCCCTTCTCGTTCCAAATTTTCACTTCACCTTCAATCATCACCTAGCATAAACGTTTAGTGTCTCAGTTAATAGTTTGATTTCCTGTTCCAGTTTATGTAATGTGTGAATAACTTAGGTTGCCTTAGACAAAAACGTCTCACCGGATACTTTATATATTGGAGTAGACAATCAATCAGCTGTTGAAAGTTGGATACTTACCCTATGCAGTTAAGCTTCCTTTTTAAGCTAATGTTTCACAATAGGATGAAACATTTACCAAGTGTTTAATGTTAAAAGCTAGTGAAAAGTTGCTTTTAAACAATGGATCACTTTATATCTTAACGAGAATACTTTTACTAATAATAGACAGCTAGCTAGGATTTTCACAAGTCCTACGTTACTGAACTGTGTTTTATTGTGATGCACATTAAGCGTATTATTTAAAAAAAGGAATATATTTATAACATATTTTGTTGGCAATTATTCTCACTGTAATTTTACTCTTCTTACAGGTATACCGTATAAATTTTTAAATGCAACTAAAGAAGACTTACATCTTTGTCGTTTTAGATTTGTTTAACTGAAGTTTTACCTTATCTGAATTATTTTACAACCTACATCTTTTGTACTTATATTTCTACTTTCGTTTTATATTAGATTTTCTTATTTTTCCCTAAATTAATATATATATTTTTTGTGCTAATTTTACTTAGTTCCACATCATCATTCATACAATATTTGGCATTTAAGTACCATAGAGTGATTTATTGATTAATTTAATGGAAAATAATAGACTGACTGAATCAATAGGAGCGCTTACTTATTTCGAAAATGCGTAAATCATCATATTTTTTTTTTTAGATTTTCTCTTCATTCATAAATTTTATTAAATGAGAATTGAACATCAGGTTTATGATGATGAAATGGTTTTCAGGTAATAATGCAGTATAAAGCTAAAAAGAATTAATCGCCATTGGTTAAATATTTTAAAAGAGGTTTTTGTGATCAAGTACTGGTTAACAACGTATATACTACTTTATGCATAAAAAATAGTATGAATTATATGGTGGTCTGATAATAAAAATGCATGGTGTTTCTTAGGTATGGAACAGTCGAAATAATATAGGAAAGCAGTTCATTGAGCCATCGATTATAAAGTGGAAGATAGATACTTATCTGAGGGGACTTGACTTTAACAAAGCTACAACAGATTCATCAAAGAAAACGAAAGTATCGTAAAATCAACATAGGACCAGGCATTACTGTATAACAACCCAAGCTGCCACAGCTGAAATCAGTACGTCAAGTAAAAGGTCAGTGAAGTGGAAGATAAAGAAAAGAAAATTCAGTCAAAAAAATATGCAGTACTAAAAGAGAGAAAGGAAATGGTGAGATTCAGTATAACGTCGTTAATATGAGGATAATGTGTATATACATCTGCGCCATATCACCTAGAGTCAGTCCCCAGCCACTGGTTTCTATTGTCTCGCTGACCCTAACCGGCTCCTGTGCATCACTCCACATGACTGAAACCAACAGTCAAAGACTTTATACATTGATAGCATGTTTTAGTGTGTCCACCTCGGACCATTTTCCAACGTGAACCTACTTCGGCCAACGAGGCAATCGACGACTAAGTATACATAACAGGATAAAGGTTCACAACTGTGTCAACTGACTTACCTCTTCTCCTTAAAAGTGTACACCTGACGTCTGTGTTACTCACTTGGTGACACCACTGAATATGGCTTATACTACGAAGTCAACGGTGGTTAAGCATGTGAAGCCTACTGATGTCTTGGATATTGAATGGCCATGGGGTGGAAGAGAGCTGACTTGTGTGGAGTACATGCGACCCTTAATAGACAATGTGATATCACGTCGGTGTCAGAGATGGCGTAAGTTTGCAAAAGTGAAGCTAGCGTTTTGTATTTGTGCAGAGATTTCATTGTCCACTGAGCCACCAGGGTTGATCCTACTTCGCAGGTAAGTGAAGTGGTCGTCACACTCAACCACTTCACTGTCTATTGTTAGCTGTGGGACCGTTGAAGATCAATCGTGGAACAACGATCTGTATTTGGGTGGTGGTAAACGCATCCCAAACATTCTCAAAGTGTCCGGAGGACTCAGCATCTTCACCTAACAGAACTATGTCATCTGTATATTCTAGATCTAATGAAAATTCTCCTGCGATTAGGTCAACCTCCGTGTAGTCAGGTGACGAGAGGGGAGACACCTCCATAAGAATATCTATGATAAAATTGAATAATAATGGAGAGAGGGGGCGCCCTTGACGGACACCATTGGATGAGCACAGTATCGTAATATTACAGTGTATTCATTCACTTAGGCGACTGATGAAACATTACTGTTCTTTTTATCATATTTATTTTATTTATAATTTTGCTTTCAATCAACTTCATTAATTATTTCGAAATCAATCGCAATATAGCAAATGACTCAACATCTCATCTTTGCATCGTGGCGGTTATGTCATATTTCATCAATGACTTTAACCTCTTACAGTTTTCTAAGAACCTTTGATGACATTATTATTTTTTTTATTTCTTAAGCTTTCATCTTCTGTCTGTTGTACACTCCATGTAAATATTCAGATTTTTTGACAAACACCACATTAGTATTTAAACGAATTTGTGTATACATTGGACAGTGAACAACTTAATTAATTACATCTCTTCGAACCCTGTGGTGTTTCCTTTTTGGTTTACATGTCTTTGACGTGTGTTTGATTTACACTTGTCGGTTAGGATAAGGTTTGTAACATTCTGGTCAAACAGAGGTGATATCTTTTCATGTTATCCGATTCATGTTTTGAAAACGTTTGGGACTAGTACTATTGTGCACACTCATACCACAAAATGTTGTATGCTGAAGTGAGATGTAGTAACTTAAACCTTTTGGCAGTATTAAACTGATCGAGTTAATAATGACAATATATGATTAACGGAGAAAGAAATGACTGAGACGTCATCCATGTACTCAATCTAGACAGAATACCAAACATTTATAGCAACCGACTTTACAGTCAGTGATAAACACTAATTGGCGACTATAATAGATTATCACCAAATTATTAGCTACCGCTTGCATAACAAATAAAAGTTTTGGTTATATTATTGTGTATTACCGTTGCGCATGAATGTTTCACTTCGTTAATAATGATTTGTTCACTTGGACAGTGATTGTGATATTAGTTGAGTTGCACTTTGGAAAACTGTTTTGATTACCACTGTGTGAATTCAGTCTACTTCTCACCAGCAGTTTCGCAAAGGCGACAAAGTTACCTGAAAACAAAATTTTTTCGAAATGGGCAAATATTTACATCTGAAGCATTTTATGCCTAAAGAGAATTCAAAGGTTGCCTAAATATAGTTCTGTGAGGAAAATAAAATAATCACCGGTATTTGTTAGCACTAAACTCTGCGGTAAGGTGCTTTTGTGTTCTGTGTGTTCCACGAATGTAGGAAATCAAGGGCTTCCTCATTTAGGATTATCGGCAAACACAAAATGTAAGCGACCAGAACATGGATTTAGAGATTTAAACGCTTGTCAAGATAAATTTTAAGATGACTTTTAATGGAGAGATACAAAATCCTCAGACAATTTGCAAGGAGGCAAATACATTCACCAAACTGAACAATTACCAAACTTGTTATCGTATGCATAGAATTCATATTGAATGGTGTCATAATCCCTTAGGGATGATCACACAAAGAAACTTGAACTGAACGTTTCAGACACCTTGCAAATGCTTCTCTACGTAGAAAGTATATATAAGAAGAGCTCGTACATTTTCACATAGAACTCCTTTACTATATGCAAAAGAACAAAAATACCGACTGCTTACATTGTAGTGAGAAGTGCAGTTGGAAGACTTCGTACTTATTTAAGTATTAGATCATAAGGCACAGGTGTTATGTCAAAGTTCACAGAATTATTTTGCAGTTTGAACTATGGAATATGAATTGAAGCTATGGCCCACTAAGTGAATGTTAAGCATATAGGCCACTGAATTACACTGCATAGATGCAAATACATCAGAAGGACATTTACAAGTGAATCAACCAAATTAAATAGGTGTTAAATGTATTTTCGAAGCTGAAACTCACAGGACCAGGTGATATTTATACTTCTCTACTGGCAATATGGACAGACTAGATTTTTTAAAGAAATTTCAGCACATCTTGCTGTATTCAATAGGATTAGTACTTTTACAGTCCAATAGTTCAATAACTGTACTACCACAAATTTACGTCCTGTGCAATAATGTCAGTTTGATACTTCGATCATCAAAAGACAAAATAATGTCAAAAAAAATCAGTAATATACAGAAATAGTGCGCAACATGTTGCCCGGAAAAATGTTCACGCAGTAGGCGAAGAATACCAGTAGTTCTATGCATACTTGTATAATAGGGTTTACAATGCATTCTGTTACATGACTATTAAAATAAATAGCTAAACACGGAGAAAGATCTTTTGCCCAGAATTCGAACTGTGAAATATATACCTGAACAATGCGATAAACTAAAACTGTAGAAGTTGACATATGTTTATTCTTTAAGGTAAACCCAATGTTTTAATCAGTAAACACGGATAAAAGTTTGCCAAAGGTCTTTGGTTTGATTGAAAGGGAAATCAAAGATTAGATGGACGTCTCAAAAATTATGGATTGGAATAAAATAACAGTTTGTGGTGTGCAAAGTTGATTGGAGTAATAACTTTGTAGGGGATTGGTTGTGTTGCTATTACGTAACGCCTAGCCAACCCTACTTACATCGATTTGCTCTAGTACCTGCTTAACCAGTACCTTACCTAACATGCAAGTACTGATAACGAAACACATATTAAAAGGACTGATATTCAGGAATATATATTCTAATGAACAGTATATTCGAAAATAAAGTAAATATGAGCGCGAAGTGGCGTCGAAGCCTGCTTGTAAAAAAACAAAACTTAAAACACCTTAAGTATCCGGAGGCGATCTAGAGGTTTATTTAGTTAATTCAGTTTATTTTGGTGCCAGGAAGGTGCACTATAACTGCATGACAGAAACTCTGCTCAAGAATTTCACCTAATTCTATGGTGGAGAAGAATGTCTGTACTTCAAGAAAAGGATTTTACATGGTCGAATTACTCAGCTTAGATATTATGCTCACAAAATTCATTAGTAAATAGACTACACATCTGATCTGACATGTCCTAATGTTGCTAGTAAATAGCTATTTCGCATTTCTAAGATTCCCGTCCGACAATTGACTGGGGAGCTATCTGACACTTGTTGGTGTAAAATGTTAACATAGAGACAGACTGATGACGAAAGTATATTTGTTATCGTACAGAAGGTAACCATAACACTTCAAAACCGCCCTACAGCGCACTCCTTTTTCAGGTTTTTGTTGCTGAAGCACAAATGAAAACTTCTCTATTCATCCATCAGCTAAGAAAAATTGAACATGGAAATCACAACTATTCGGTTAACCACATTCATCACACTCAAGACAACTGCCAACATAAACTTTTAATCTTTTTATAAGACATTGCAAGCCATTTGAACACA